GAAAGATGGGGAGAGAGTGAGAGAAAGAAAGGAAAAGAGTGAGAGAGAGAGAGAGAGAGAGAGAGAGAGAGAGAGAGCAAGAGAGCAAGAGAAATAATGCACCTTTCCTCTGCCGATTTGTTCTATTCTGGCCCCTAGTAGATTAGATGATGCCTGTCCACACTGGTGAGTATGATCTTCTTAACTCAGTCTTCTGATTCAAATACTAATCTCTTCTAAATCACCTTTCCAGATTTACCCAGAAGTAACGCTTTACTATTTATCTGGTATCTCTTAGTCTACTGAAGTTGACACATGAACTTTACCATCACAGCTGTACCATCAAATATTTTCTTTTGGTATGTTATAGTTATTTTCATTTTGAGTAATGATAATGTTTTGGCAATTCTCTACACATTAGACAATATATATGTTAAACCTAGGACAATTGAATAAAAATTATATCTTTGAACACCTTGAATTTAAAAAACAGAAATGAATGATTTAGGGTACCAGGATGAAATGGAAGGCACAATTAGGAATCATTTTAAAGAGAATTTAGATCAGGGATGCTTTCCAGAAGGGCTGCTGGATTATGGGATCCCATGAGGGATACTGGGTGTTTAATTGCTAGCCGTAATGGAAAGCTGAAGGAGCAAGTGATACAATGAGAATATTGGGGGGAAATATGAGCTGCAGCTATGTAAAGGTGGTGACAAGGAAAGACTGTGTAGCCACCACCAGAAAGAACTACAGTGCAGTGTTATACTGCAAATAGGGGAAATGCAGCCCTGCTTTTTCTTTCCTCCTGCCCCTTTCTGGTGCCTCTCATTGACAAAACCCAAACAGAAACCAGGGGACAAGGGAAACCAGGTTGATGCAATACCTAGAGATTAACCTTAGGGCACGGAAAAGAGCACATGAGGGATCTGAGGTTGGGAATACACAGGGGGGCAGGGATGGAAAACAACCAGCACAATAAGTGAGAAAACAAGGGTTTACCTTATGTCAAAATCTGATGCTTTTAGATTTTGTGCAATTTAGCATTAGCTACATCATGCTTTCCATGGAATAACATCTATATCTTGTACCTACAACCATCACAAATATGACCTCATTCATTAAGACTCATTAAATTGGATAATTATATGGACACCTCATTGGATAATTATATAGTCAGCTAATTTTTCCATTGTGTTGTAAGGTTTCCTGAGCAGCTTTCTTGGTAGCCAACCATCTATAAGAAATTGGGTAAATTATACCCATTTAGTCAATTAGAATTGTGCTCCCATTGGCCAAATACTAAAGAGTAGGAGATTATCTTTTCCCACGTGAAGTATGAACAGTTTGATTCATTAAGTACATGGTTTTCTGCATGATTTTACGGTATCAGTATTAAATTGTTTCTACTTGTAGTTTCTGCCAACTGGAATGACTTTAGAAGGAAAAGTGGAGAAAAGGGAGAATAAATTAAATGTGACTGAGACTGAGGCAAAACAAACAGATGAAACAATAGACAAAGTGTGAGAGACTACAGCTGACAAATCCAGCCTACCACAGAGTGGGCTTGGAGCACCTTCTAGCTCACTGTCTCCTTTCCAACAGGTTACTTGCTTTTCCTGGCTTGCTTATTACCCTGTTATCTCTTTCTTCAATTCCACTATATGAAGTTATCTCTTTCTTCAATTCTGCAACATGGAGTGCTATATAATTAGGAAATTTCCTCATGATGCTATTAAACTATTTAAATAACATATTAGAACAGGAAATTATTGCTATGGAGTTGCTATTTATGTATTGTTATTTCTAATTTAAAAACTGAATCAAGAAGGAAATTACTTATTTCCCTCAAAAATCCAAAATACAAATGTAGATTTTAGAGATTTCTTCTACTTACAGCAGACTATTAAAGATAATTATAAGCCTAAATATAACAAAGCTAAATGTAGATTTGGTAAACAAAGAAATGCGGTCAAATAAAGGAAACCTCAAAAACAACTGATATTCAGGACCATGATTTGTTGGCCCCATTTCATTGACCTTTTTTTTTTTTTTTTTTTTTTTTTTTTTTTTTTTTTTAACAGGATCTTACATTTATTACAGTTAAGCACATGGTCCACTGACAACAACCAGTTCAGATATGTTACTGATTTTTAAGAGTAAATATATGGCAATAACTTAAGGCAGACATTTGAATATTCCTTTTCATTGAAGAAGGCAAATAAATTATAATGTTCCAAGAAGTTTAGATAGGTAGTTAGATAATAAAATTTTCCTAACTCCTTAAGCTTGGTGCAATCACCTTCAAGTAAGATATCTCAATCTAATTCTCAGATGGTAATTAATAATAAAATCTCTACAATAAGCTAATCACATTGAACACTTGTGGTATTATTATTCGGGGAAGGGGTGGCAGGAAGGGGCTTGAGTATAATCCTGACTCTTCCATTGTTTGAAATACCCTGTGTTCTTCCAGAGGGCACCAAAGGATAGCTATACAGAAGCAAGTGTAAATCAGCCCCAGGGAGCAGTCTCTGTGAGATGCCAGCCTTGAGCTGAAGTAGAGATGAGTTTCAAGTTGCCAAACACCCCCATGCAGCAGTAAAAAGATAGGATATCGACACGCTCAGCTGCATCTTGTTAAAAGCTTCCTGCGGGTTGGCAGAATGAAATCTTTATTTGAAACACACAAACTATTGTCAAGGGAAAGATGGAAAAGAGAATACAGTAAAAGGGCCAAATGCTTTGCTTAACCCACCAGAAGCAAGAGAAAGAGAGAAGTGGTCACGTTGTCTTTGCAACAACTACAGAAAAGGTGACTAACCCCATCACATCAGCATCCATCTGCTCTTCCCATGGTTTTGAGATGCATTATTTCTTTTATTATTAATTATATGTGTTTCCAGGGGAGGGAAAACATATTATTCTGACTAGCAAGGGTGGAAATCATTTCTGCTGCCACTTGGCATTAAGTACTGTAGTGTATGTAAGTATGTAATGACTGAGGGATGACAGGAAACAGCCTGGTCTCATTGAGACCAGCCTCCCTCCTACCAATTCGGTCCAACTCATAGTCAGAGGCTGCCTAACAGAAAATTCATGTAAAACCATTATTGAACACTGACAGGAAGGAACTGAGACAGGAGTGAGTGGTGTGTATTTGTGCAGAGAGGGAGAAGGAGGGGGAAGAGAGAGTATGAGTCAGTCATCATCATCTTGGGCAGACAGCACCATAAGAGGGGCAAGTGCTTTGTATAATTACAAAAAGATGTACACATGTACACACACTTGCACATATGGTGTAAATTTTTTCGTTCTTACCATCATTTCCAAGAACGGTTTTAAGTGATAATGAGTGCTCATGGAAATCTTGGATGGATGAGCTCTGTGGCTTTAGGGAGGCTGAACAGGGTCCCTAGCAGGGCGTGGGTTCAGGAGAAGGGTCCCTTTTGAAGAGCAAAGGGACATAGCAAGCAATGAAGCAGGCATGAAAAGACAAAGGTGAAAGGACCCTGGGGAAAATGTCACCTATATTGATTAAGCTTTGTTTCTTTTCGGGAGAAACTGACATTTCTGCGATTAGATCATGGACATATAAGGAAAGTAGATGGGTCACTGTTTTTACGTTGTTCTTTTTTTGTTTGCCTTTTTTCTGCAGTGCTTACAGCACCTTTGACCAGGTGGTTCCTGAAAGGCTCTTTGTTGCATTATTACAAACAGGATAATTATTTTGGCTTTTTAATAAACGCACCGACGTGGTGACATTGCTCTGTTTAGCAAGAGATAGAGCATTTGTTGCCTATAGCTGTGTGCTCTGATGAGACGTGAAAAGAAAGATGGTAAAGTGACAAAAGATTTCTGCTGTTTTTCTCCCATCCTGCCAACCTTCTTCCCCGAGCTTCAGTCCCCATTTCTAGTTTTGCTGGCGATCGAAGTTCCTCTTCCTTGTCTCCGGAGTCTGGTGTACACCGTCTCTTATGCACTGACCACTCTACCTTGGGATACCGAGGAGGTGGGGAAGAATCCGCTCCCTGCATCCATGTCCAGGTCCTCTCCTCTGCAGCGAGGCTGATTTTCAGCAACTCCTGTACGGGTTTTCCCTTCGCAGTTACCACCTTGGCGGAGCTCTATCCCTCCCTCAAGCCCAGCCAGACGGCCAAGCGCTCCGAGTGAAAACTCCATCCAGTTCAGCTGAAGTACACCCCCTTCGCTAATCCACCCCCATGCCCCTGCCCCACACCTCGCTAAAGTCTGCTCTTCCTAAGCATCGATTCCATTACAAATCAAATCTACATCCCTCACCTACCCACACCCACCACCCCTTAGCTGCTACCGACAGCCTCCCTCGGAAAATTATAATAGCAGCAATAATAACCGAAAAAACGCGAACACCTGAGGAAGCACAACCAGGATCCGCACCTGGACCAGTAATCTGTGGCTTTAGTGATGGGGAATAGCCTGTGCCTGACATGTCCTCCTGTCCCCCCGCCAACTGATTTACCCCGGAGCCCTGGAATCGCGCCAAGGCCCCCGGGCAGCAGGGTCCGCCCAAGCCGCGTCCGGCAGCTCCGGGCCGGTGGGTGCCGGGTCTCCCTTCCTCCCGCCCCAGCCGGCGCGCCCGCACGCCGCCGCCGCCACCGCCTCTCTTTCTCGGCGGGCGCTCGGAGCATCCCGCGCCGCGTCCTCCCCGCCCCGGCCCCCGCCCACCCGCCCGAGCGGGGCCCGGGCGGCTGGCAGCCATCAAGTGGCTCGTTAAGGAAATGCAGGTGAGTGCGTGCGGCCGAGCGGCAGCTGCTGCTGGAGACGTGGGGTGTGTGCCTGTGTGTGCGAGCGAGACAAGGAGGCAGCGTCCGCGAGCGAGCGAGTGCGGGAGCGGCCGCCTCGGCTCCCCGCCCAGCCGCGCCCGCACCCGGCGGCCGGAGCGCGTGGGGCAGCGCCTCGCCCTGACAGAGCCTCGCCTCCTCCGCATCGTCTCGGCGCTGCTCCCCGGAGCCGGGAGCCGGGAGCCGCTCACCGGCCTCCCCCACCCTGCGCTCCCTCCCAGCCAGAGCCCTCCCGCTCCTCTTTCTCCTCCTCCTCGCGAGCCTCCTCCCCTCGCGCGCGGCGCTGACAGCCAGCCTCGGCGGGGAGAGTGCAGGTACTTTGCCTTCAGAATAATTTGCAGGACCCGAGTCGGCTTTCGGGGCGCCCTTTCTTCTTCCTTTGCCCCCTCCCTCCGGAAAAGAAGATCCCACTTTCGAAACAATCAGGACCCGAAGCACCCCACCAAAGCCAAACCCTGACGGGTGCTGTGCATGTGCCGCCCCTTTTTGCAGTTTATTCTGGGCCTGTGTGGAATAGAAAGACAATTCTTTATTTGACTGGTAGGAAAGAAAAGAGAAGACTCCTCAGGGTTTCCAAGGAGGACTGGAACGCCTGCTTTAGTAAGTAAACTGTGCTTCTGTCTTTCTTGCTAAAGTGAGATATATGCTGATTGCTTTTCAATGTCCAATGTCCAATGCTGTGGACAGTCTATTCAGTTGCCTGGGAATAACTTGACTTATATAACTTCAGTAGCTTCTATTTGAGAAGTGGTTCGCTAAGCATCTCTTTGGAGGAGCCCTTAGACGACTTCGATATGGGTTCAGGATAGGCAACCTTACTGGTAATCTGATATTTAAACGCTTATTGTTCAAGAGCTACTGGAAGCCTGCTTTGTGAAAGCTTGGTTGCTTCTAAGATTTAACGATGGTTACCTAGAAAAAGGTTGAGAAATCGAACCCTACTGGCTTACTTCTCCTGCCACATTCAACCTCAACCCTCATCCATGCTAACTCCCACCCTACTCTGACTTCAGTTGGTTGGTTTTGTCTTTAGTTCTGAAAAGCGCTAACCAAAAAGAAAAAGGAAAGGGAAAGTTAATAACGATGGTTTGAAAGATGAGGTGACCATTCTGTTGAGATTTATTTTATGCCTATAAGATAATTCGTGGTGGAAAATCCTGAGGCTAAAATAGTTGGGGAATTTGAATGAACTTAATTTGGAGAGAGAATGTGAAAAATGCTTTGGAGAGGGCAGGGGCTGAGACTGTGACTTTGACACAGCAGGTTATAAACTCTGACAGGGCTCAGCAGCCAGTAACGGGTTTAAGGTGTCTCCTAAGGCTGAATATCTCTGCATCAAAAACTTTTGCAGGCAGTATTCCTCTTGGGGCTAACATCACCATGTCGGTAGCTGCAGCATTTCTTTTAAAGCAAGCAGGACACTCTTCTTTCTACAAAAGGGTTAATGAGTTATATATATATATATATATATATATATATATATATATGTATGTATAGAAAAAAGAGATGTAGTCTAACATTTGCCAATATTTTGTAATATCTAAATAAAACCTTTGTGTTATGTCAGGAAAAATATAGTTGAGTCAGTTTGTTTTGCACAAGAGGGAGAGAATCAATAACATTTCAGTGTTTTTTTCTTTATCACTGCCAAATGGATTCTGAATCTAATTCTTCTTGCATTGTTACATGTACAGTAGATACAGTAGGAGTTGCAATTTAGACAAATCAAACCTGATTTTTAACAAATCCTAAGTTTTTTGACATGGCAGCACTTGTGTTGACTAGAGTCTAATAGTGATTAGAAAAAGTTTATCCCTTTTATCTTTAATAGTCAATTTTCTGTCTAAGACACACTTTTCTAATAAAAACCCTTTATAAGTTAAAAATTGGATTGAAAAGTGAAAGTGCTTATCTCAGAGAATTTCAATAAAACGGCTCATTATTAAATGGTACCTAAGGACTTTCTTGTATTTAATAGTTGAAAATGGTAGAGTGAAAATATTTTTACCTCTTTATCTACTTAAGTAAATCTATAAAAGCATCAGTATTCATGGGGGATTGGTTTTAAAAATTATAAGAGTAAACTAAAGTACAGTTGTTACAAAAAGTTAGACATCCTTTAGAGTTGTTAATGATTACTCAATGTTGAAAGCTCTAAATATCTTGGGCCATAAGTTTTTAGGGTAATGAGACAGGACAAAAGGACAGTTAATGAATTTGTTGACATGAAGTTATCAACTATGAAATCATTTGAGAAAGATGTGTCATTGTTTCTTGATTATTATTTAATTTCTTATCCAAATGAGTTTTCTTAGAGATATTACTGCTCTTAGCTGACATTTCTATTACTGGTTTAAAAATAAATTTAAATAATTAAATGAAGCTCTTGGTTGATCAGATTTGGATTATAACACGTGACCTCTACTCATTTCTGACCTCACATGTCTGAGAGGGTATCTGATATTTGAAAAAAAATAATCAATTATTGAAAAATAAAGGGGAAAATTGTTCCTAAGTAGGGCAAATTTAAGAGTGGTTCAAACATGTTATTACCTATGTTAGTATAGGACATATTTTCCACAGTGGAGAAGACATGACTTATTTGTTCATCCTTTTTGAATTTCTGAAAGCAAATATTTGTAAGTAACATTAAAGTTAACCTGAGATACATTCTGCCTCTGTTGTAATTATGTCATAGTGCTAAGGAAGACAGCCTGAATGAAAGCTGTTTCTAGCAAAGCTTGCACATGCATTTGATCCCTATCTCTATATAATAGATAAAAATGTCAAAGCTGGGTGGGTGATTAAATTGTCACCTTTTGGCCACCAGCTCTCTGTCCTGTACAGAGGTGGTTGCAAGTTTAAAGTTGAGAAGAAAGTTGCTAGTGTCAGCAGTAATGTGTTTTATTATGCAATTGTTCTTGTTATTCAGATCAGATAATGGCCCGATGAAATACATAAGAAGTCTTCAGGGAATGAATGATTAATTCCTCTAACATGTGCTTACTAAAGGAGTTCTTTCTAATAAAGTGCTGTATACCTGCATTTGCTTACAGTTGCAGTTGGTGAAGGCAAATGTACTTTTCTTTTCTTTTAATATTAACATAAAATTTACAAGTCTACTCTTGTAACTATAGCAACATAAAGATGATTTTGTTGACCACATGGTGTTACATGTTATGGAACTCAATAGATGATTACTATTTGCTAAAAGCACTTAATTTAGAAAGAAAACAATGTTGATTAGATGTAATATTGGAAGGTTGAGCTATTCATAACTTTTTTTTCGTTTTATTCTTTATGGAATGCCATTATATCTTTCCTGTGTATTGCTAGTAAGATGCAGGAATCCAAAAGTATGCAGATGCAGAGTTCTGCAAATGGACATTTTTCTTTAATAATGCTGAGAGTAAGTGAAAAGCTAAAATATTACTAGTTATATCCAAGAATTAGCAGAATACTATGTTAAAATTTTAGGAATGGCTAATAGTGCACATGACAATCATTGTGGTTACCACTGGTGTAAACCGTTTTGCAGTTAGAGAAGTATCATTAATGTAACTTTTGATATCTTTACGTTTCTAAAACTGGATTATAATGAAGGGTGGTGAACACAGATTTTATATGATAATTTGAGAATAGGTGACCTGAAATGCATGTTACTTGTTTGAACCTTGCCTACTTAATGTCTTTTTAGAAATTTCTGAAAAAAATGTGATTTTCAAAACTGCATAAATATATCTATCCATATGTCTGTATTGATCTGTCTACTGCCTAAGCGTGTCTCACATTTAATACAGCAAATAACTTTATTCCAAGATCTCTCTGTTGTTTGGAGGAAATACTTTAATTTCAAGAACATATTTTTGGGCTTACACCTATCCTGAATTTAATAAACTTTAACAATGCAAATGATGTGATAAATATTCAGTAATACTAATTTAAAAGTTATAATGAAAATTAAATTAGTAGAATTTTGTACACAGTTGAATGCCATTTGAACTTACCTTCTTATGTATTAATGTACAGTTTCTTTACCACTACTGTTGGTTCACTGTTTTATTATTTTAGGATTTTCAAAAGCATTTGACACCAGTAAAGAATAAATAAATCTTCCCTGATACAATCAAACAATGTAGATCAACTGTACTTGCAACAAGATTTTCAAAACTCTTAAAATTCATTGCTATGAAGAAGAATTAACAAAGAATCAAAAAACAAACATTATCCATTAGGAGAATACTTATGTGATTGTGGTAACAAAGGTTTTGAGTTTTTCTTTTATCACTACAATTTAAAGTGTGACCCTAAGGAGGTAATCTGGACTCTCTGTACCTCTTCTAAGTATAGAAATCAGTTTAGCAATTTAAAAGTCTTTAGAGCTATGTTACCAATATACTGAATATAACTGAAGTAGCATTTTGCAAATCCTCAAATTATACTGTGACAGTTTAAGAATTCTTGTAGGAGTTAAGGGCAGCCATCTTGTTTGAAAGAGGGCTAAGGAAATTGTTTTGAAGTCATGTTAGCAGTACCTGGACACTCTAGTTATATAGATTGAATATTTATTTGGAGTGTTTTTGAAGAAGGAGGATGGAGATTAGGGAAGGGAGGTCGTGGACCCAAGTTTCTCTCAACCACCCTATGCTCCTGCCACTGAGAGCATATTACATTTTTGGATTTTATTACTGTATTCAATATCAGAAGGATATGAGAAGAAAATAAGTAAAAAGGGATGCTTAGTGTCTTTGGTCTTCCTTTTTCCCACTCTGAAATCTCCATAGATGCTATTTTACAAGATCACATTTGGATAAATATGCACAATTTAAATAAGTGTATATTATTCCTTACATACATATTGTAGACTGTCAGAGCTAGCAAGAAGCATAGAAAAAATTATTTGTACCCTTGCATTTTAAAGAGGAAATAGAGAACTTCAAAGATTAAAAGATGTCAAGGTGTGTTGAATTTCCCAGTTTCACAGGGAGGTTTTCCATCCCAGTTCAGAAGCATCTATCATGCTATATTGCCAAGTAAATACACAGACAATAATTTATAAACACCTCTAACTACATTATCAATAGAATAGTTCCAGTGATCATGTAGGATACAATGCATTAACTTTAAAAAATGTAATAACAAAACTTCTAATCATGGAAAATGAACACAGAGAAGGAATATACACAATGTTAATTTTAAATGCTTGCTTTTCTTAAGGAAAGCCAAGAGTTTACTTGTCAATATAATTCGTGTGATGTAATTGGGAACTTTTTTTTCTTCTAGGAAAATCAATATGGCCAATTGTTTTCTTTATGTGATATTAAATATTTGAGTTGTAGCAAGTAGGCCTATATCTCTCTGAAATGTATACTTTAAATCATTGAAGTCTGGGAGATCATGCTATACTTATATTTTTAAATTGTAAAATATAGCCAATGTAGCTGATTAATTGTAGAGATTTTATTTTGTGTTTGCATGTGGGCATTTATGTATGCGTATGTGTTTAAATACATTTGTTCTCTTCAGAATAGATCTTAGTGAAAATGGTGTATTCAGAAGTTTAAAAGTATATGTACAATAATCAAATAATCAAAAAGAAA